GGGTACTCTGTGCTGATTTTGTTTATAGTTTAAAATGATTACATTTGTGATCACAAATTGTGGTTCCTTTCTGTTTCAGTTCCACTGTTTTAGATGAGCCATCTATATGATTGTGGAAGGATGTGGAGTATCCATTCATGGCATTTTGTTAAACTTTGGTGTCAATTTAATCCCTTTCTGTCCAGTGGTGATAATTTGTAAGGCCATAACACTCTGTATCGGATAGTACAATGTCAATAAATGTTTTTGAAGTGGTTGTTTCTTTTTGTTTCATGTTGCAATGATAAGTAGAGCTCTGCTGTTGAACAAACTTAACTGCAGTTTTTTCCTTGAAATGTCTGTAAGCAAGACAATTGTCTGTGTACAAAAGGAAGTACAGTCAACTAATTTGTATATGGTCATGCTCACACTTTTGTTGTACATGTACAATGCACTATTTCTTGGGAACATTGAGATTTCTTAAATAAGTAGTGGTATTGCATATGGCATAAGTCTGACTTGTTAACATTTCTTTCAAGTCTGTATTGCTTTAATTTTACGGTAGTGTTCCTACTGTTGGATTCATTGAAGCAGGGGAGGGGGGAGTGAGGCAATCACCTGGTCAATGTATCACTGAGTTTTTGATGAACAAAACTCTAGTGAAGCTTTTCAATCAGTAACTACACATTTAACCCTTAAAAGTTTTTTTGTTCAGTCCCAGAACTGAAGGAATACTATGTATGTACAAAAATAATAATCCTTTTTGACAATTCCTTGTTATTATTCATTGTATACTGCAACATGAATTTGTCTTCTTTGCCTGTGGAACAGAGATAAAAAAATTCCATGATTAGATAGAAGTGGTATGTTGGTGGGACTGTTAAAGATGTAATACAAAGGGATAATTTGGGTGTTGTGAGAAAAAAATTGGAGCAATAAGCTAAATGTCTGCCTGTCTTATCTGTTAAACGATCAAATCAGGGATTTCATATTTCACTATTATTTCAATTTCCAGTTTTTTATTATCTAGTTTTCAAAATACATCGTACGGCCTCATCTGAACATTGTATCCACAGCATCAGGCATGTGCGAGCGCAAAACAACACAAACTAAACTAGTGTAATAGAAAAATCCGAGCCCCAGATGGGACTTGAACCCACGACCCTCAGTGATCTAGTCGGATGCTGTAACCACTGAGCTAAACTAAAACTAAACTGTTATTATTATGGCCATAAAAAAAAGCTGAAGCACTTAAAAGGTCGACGTTAAAAAAGCAAAGCCTAAAAAATATAAAATTCAAAGTTTAGACTGATTGGTGCTGCTATTTGTTGCTCCTCTTTCTGTGTGTTTTTCTGCCTTGTTTTACGGTGCATTACCGTGGCAAATGCATTGTATGGTAAAACAGTGCAATTGTGGAATAATTATGATAATATATCTTTAGACTGAATAGTGCAAAAGTTCAAACATTGGTGGAAAGTCGGTGAGGTAGGTGATAAGATGGTGCCATAATCAGATTTAACACTGATCTGTGATTTTCATTTCTGACTTTTTCATTTGTTTTTGAACAATGACTTAATAGATAGAAACTAAGAACCCTAATTTTTTTTGTTCCAACACCTATTACCAACATCAACAAACTATTACCTGTGGTCTCTCCAATATACTGCTACAAAGCTGAGTTGTTTGGAATTAATTATTAGTCTTAAATGATGTTGAAGGATATTTTTTAGTCCATTTAAGTGGGACTACAGTATACACGTACAGTGTAATATCCAAATAATGTTATTTACATGACAATGATGTAACTTAAAAAGCTGCTCTTGGTTAAAACTGTTTGGCATGGAAGTGGAAGTTTTGTGAAATTACTCACCGTTTTGTAGAAGGCTTTTGATTGCAAGGTTAGTCCTTCAGATTTTTCTACAAGATCATCAAGTTTCTCTCCTCTCTCAAGAACAGTTTCAATTGTGTTGTGCTGCAAATAAATGGATGGGAAATATTTGGGGGATAGTGATCCTATTTCATGGGTAGATTTAAGCAACATTTGCCAACACTTCTAGAAGAGGCCATGATAGTCCAACATGTTCTAGTTGATTTAACAGTATTACATAATTATAAAATAATTCTCAAATGTTTTTCACACAGTGGATTAGGCTTGAACTCTGCAATAATGTTTGATTGTGTAGTCTAATCATTCCTGCAGATGAGTAACCATTTACCATAAACAACTTATTCTTGACAAATGAGTAAAGGGTGTAAGTTTCTAAAGAAACTGTGGTGCTGCGTTGGTAAGGGAGTACAACAAGGTCATTTGGGTTTCATCAACTAAGTTCGTAATTTAAATTGGCAACCGCAAGAAGTTTTCAAAGCTGATGTTTCAGGAGTTACCTCTCCATCCAAGGGAATGACAAAAGGCTAACCCTAGAAAAATCAGCTTTGACACTATTTATGGTGGCCAATTTTCCAATATCAACCCAGCTCATAAAACCAAAATTATCTTGCTGTTCTTGACAAAGACAGAATAGATGACTCATCTTAACCAACAGATAGGATCTGACCAATCAAACACAACTTAAATTACTGTACTTCAATAAATCCTTAAGCCAATAACCAATCAGTTTTGATGAAAAAAAAAACCTGAAACACTTAACTGACAAATTCTTGGATGACTTCAACTACCTCACGGTTACTGATAGTCCTTGTCAGGAGTACTCAAAACAGGATGCACTATGCTTTTAGACAGTGAAGAACAAATTTGTGACAACAGAGGGTTGAGTGCAGCTTAGAAGAAGCTATGATCTAGTCATTGGCTGGCAGACCGACGACAATCAGTTGAAAGCTGCACCAGTTGTCTCTTGATAGTAAAAATCTTGCAACTACTGTGTTCAAATTTTTATCCAACTCACCACATTTTTAAACAACTATTCTTCTCCATTTATACATGTTACTCGCTCATTTTCAGTTGAGGACATTTTCTATCAAGATATTGTACCACTATGCTTCACAGATAAACCCTTATGATCTTTTTTCTAATGGTACTAAAATGGCCCCTATGGTACAGCAGCTCTCTCACCATACATACTTCCAGCAGTGTGAAAAAAGAAAACTCATATATGTAGGGCACTTACTAAAACTATTTTAGTTTCATCCAGTTCTGCCTGCACTTTAGTCATTGCATCAGCTTCTCTTGGATTCTGTAGCAATAAAGAACACAACAATGTCTATCAGCACTCCATCGCATTTCAAGTACTAAGCAACCCTGAAAACAATGTTTTCCATGTTATTCTCCCAACTGATTTCCATACATTTCCTAGCAAATGAGACAAAAGAATTTTGGTGTTAAGTCAAGACAACACCCACTAGTTGATTACCATGTCTGTTCTCGTAACCTGTTTGGAGATAAAATATTCGAATCACAATGAAAGATTACATGTTAGTCACGACTGGGAGTTAATACACAAATCAAGTGAATCAACATATCTACTGATTTCTGTTATAATGTTTTCATGATGGGTGAAAAAAGAAGTTTATATACTTTCCATGACAGATTCAGGTGACTAGTTTATGTAATCAAGGCTTTTTATCCTAGTTTGTTTGTAATCAACAATTCAAAAACATTCTAATGAGGATGGGTAGACAAAGAAACACAAAACTTCTTTAAGACTATAAATCATTGAGTTTTTTCTTTTTTAAATCCCCAAAACCATACTTTGAAAACCTTTTTTGGTGGAAAAGGATTCCTTTCTTAACCTAGCAAATGATTTTCAACAAAGAAAATAACATGTAATTGACAATGAAAAACTTACACCTTACAAAGATTCACAAAATGAACTATAGATCAAGACCCCAGTACCTGATAATCTTGTAGATATTTCTCACATTCTGGCCACACTATTGTACTTGAAGTTGACAAGAGGTAAAAACATCAGAAATATCATAATAATACAACTATGGCTAGGGTCTCATTATTTTCAGCCCCTTTGTAGGAAAAACTTAATATTTCTTAACTTATGGCATAACTTCAGATTTACAAGAAATTGTTATGGAAAAATTCTTCCCCACAATGTTACTGATCAAGACTTGTACCATTAGCATTTGATTTATCTCTACAGCAAAAAAATACTGCACTGAATGTTTACATCAATACAACATACACTTACTAAAAATGCCTGAACATTAAACCTAATGATTTACCAAGTGCTTACTTTGGTTCAGCTGTTTTCCAAACTGATGGGGAAATTTTCTGTGAAAAGTCCTCTAAAACCTTTTAAATTTTGCATTAAAAAACAAATATGGAATTAAATATTAAAACAGATGACATGTAATCAAACATCCCAGATTACAAATCAGTTGTAAAATGAAGACAAAGAGCTAATCTGAAGTCAGAGATAAACATTGAGCCTAGCCCTGCACTGGCTGGACACATGAACATAACTCCAAACAAGTCATGTCTTTCACTACTGACAATGGAACACTTACTTTATTTAACAAAGTAAAAACAACTCTTTGTGGATATTCATTGTCAGAAATTATAACTCCTCCAAGAGAATCTGATCTGACAAAGACATGGCAAATGTATTCTGCAAAAAAATGCATTTAAAATAAACCCTTGCAAAATAACTTGTATCAAGGATATGCTGAGTTATTCGCACAGATAAACATGGTGTGAGTAAAGACTCAAGACAATAACTGAACTGATGTGATCTACAGCATCTCTCCCCTCCCCTCCTTAATACCTTTGATTCTGCCACCTTTAAAAATTTATTACTGTAGATAGACCTTAGAGGTTCACATGATCAGAAGATTTACTGCTCTTTGCTTAAAATAATCATCTTCACACAAATTTGATGTCACCCAAACCCCCAGTACTAATGATCTCACAAGGCTGAGATTTGCCTTTCATTACAAACCATTTTCTGTCACAGAGGCTCTCTCATTAGTTCTTGTTCTCTCCACAAGTATTTGGCTGGTAAACTGCATAAACTCTTTCACGCTAAAAAAATTAAGTTTATATTACATCACTACAGATATTTCATCTTAATTTTCCAGTGCAACCTGTATTGATCTGACACTCAAAAGGACTCTCACTGCATGGCTTGGTAACTATGTCTAAATCTTGTGTATAATGCTTTAAATCTATAACATTTAACAATTGTTCCACGAGCGCGCTTTGGATATGAGATGATAGATAGCCAACGAGGCGCGTAGTGCCGAGTTGGCTATAATCATCTCATATCCAACAAGCGCGAGTGGAATAATTGTTTTATTAAAAACGTTAAATTAAATTAAATTTTATTCAATTTTTAGCTCCCTTTTAATTTTAATCTGACACGTACGCTTGCCATATTTGTAGATTATGGTATATTGGCTGATATACCATAATGGGTAAGCCAATAAAAAGTCTTGAATTGCATTATCCAATGATCTAGTTTTTAATAATTAACAATTATTCCATGAGCGCACCTTGGATACGAGATGATAGATAGCCAATGAGGCACGTAGCGCCGAGTTGGCTATAATCATCTCATATCCAACAAGCGCGAGTGGAATAATTGTTTTATCAAAAACGCCCCCAAGAAATTATTATTTTGTGAGAAGAAACCGGATTTTTTAGCTCCCTTTTGATTTTAAGCTGACGTGTACGTGTACCATATTTGTAGATTGTGGTATATTGGCTCATATATCATAATGGCTAAGCCAATAAAAAGTCTTGAATTGCATTATCCAATGATCCAGTTTTTAATAATATATGATATACTAGTCTATGTAAAGATGAAACAATTTTTAGTGTAATAGAAAAATCCGAGCCCCAGATGGGATTTGAACCCACTTGATCTAGTCGGATGCTCTAACCACTGAGCTACTGGAGACTATGGTGAGCATGGGTCAATTTGTGGGCCTCGACTGGAACCCCATTGCGCGGCTACACAGCCAAGTATTGGTGAGGGCCTGTGAAACTCACTAACAGCATCACGCTGTCACATTAAAGCATATGAAGATGCAGCCAACCAACCTCCAAAGTGAGCATGTAAAGATGAAACAATTTTTAGTGTAATAGAAAAATCCGAGCTCCACTACACTAAAAATTGTTTCATCTTTACATGCTCACTTTGGAGGTTGGTTGGCCACATCTTCATATGCTTTAATGTGACAGCGTGATGCTGTTAGTGAGTTTCACAGGCCCTTACCAATACTTGGCTGCGTAGCCGTGCGATGCGGTTCCAGTTGAGGCCCACAAATTGACCCTTGCTCACCATAGAGTCTCCAGTAGCTCAGTGGTTAGAGCATCCGACTAGATCACGGAGGGTCGTGGGTTCAAGTCCCATCTGGGGCTCGGATTTTTCTATTATACTAGTCTATCTTGTGTATATTTTGGCAGAGGAGGTGTAAATAAATTTGAACTACTGTGACTCATAAGGACATAAAGACAGCAGAGTGACAATAACTCTCAAAAAAGAAATGACAACTTTGAGTTTAAATTTAGAAGACATGTTTCGACATTCTCATGTCATCTTCAGTTGCAAATGAGCATTTAACAGTTGTACATTTGAATTTATATTAAGGTACGTTACAAGTTACGCGTCAGGGCTTACGTTACATTTGAATATTAAAAACGCGAAAAATGTGAATAGTGCGCCCTTGACTAGATCAAAAAAATAATAATAATAATAAAATAAAAGACCAAGGAACAACATAATTAAAAGGAAAGAGACAATTCTAGATGCTTCAATCACTGATTAAGAATGGGTTTTCCCCTCTTAATATGCAATGCCTCTTTGATCTTAATTTGGTATTTTGAAGCGGCAGAATCTAAGATCGTGAAACTTTCAGTATCACAAGAGTCAAGACAGGCCCCTGATGATTGCAGGTGCTTGTAAATATGCGAAGTTTTGTCCGACAAGAGGTGCTCATGAACTGGTGTACAAATGTGGCAAGTGGTCTCACCGATATAACTGACATTACAGCCAGCACATGAAAATTTATATGACACGCGAACGTAGACCCAGTGGTACTGAATTTTTCACACTGAACACGTTTCTGAGTTTAAATGTACTGAAGACTAACTTAACATCTAAATCAGCTCTACAATAACGTTTGAGTAGTTGTCTTAACTTAGTCTGAGCAAAGTTTGAAAACCGACCAACATAGGGAAGTTTATAATAGTGGGAAGAAGGTTTAATGGAGTTAGAAGAGGCATTCTGCCCAGTAGGAGAAGGATTATTTTTCTTTGCTAGATACCTGTAAATGATCTTGTCTATGACCCAAGATGGAAAACAATTTTTCCGTAGCAAGAAAATAAGTTTCTTGACATCCAGATGAAACCCAACCCAGGAATTATTGATCTTATATGCTCTGTCAATCAGTGTTCTGACTAAATCTAATTTGTAAATCAAAGGGGCGAAGCTAAAATAATTAGTAAGAAGACCAGTAAACGTTGTCTTTCGATATACACTAGTGACGATGGATGTATGACTGTTATCTAACAATATGTCTAGAAACAATAATTTCTTATCAATTTCCTTTCCATTGTGAAACGGCCTGTCTTGACTCTTGTGATACTGAATGTTTCACGATCTTAGATTCTGCCGCTTCAAAATACCAAATTAAGATCAAAGAGACATTGCATATTAAGTGGGAAAAACCCATTCTTAATCAGCAATTGAAGCACCTAGAATTGTCTCTTTCCTTTTAATTATGTCGTTCCTTGGTCTTTTATTTTGTTATTATTATTACAATTTTTTTTTTTGATCTAGTCAAGCGCACGCTATTCACATTTTTCGCGTTTTTAATATTCAAATGTAACATAAGCCCTGACACGTAAATTGTAACGTACCTTAATATAAACTAAAATGTACAACCGTTAAATGCTCATTTGCAACTGAAGATCACATGAGAATGTCGAAACATGTCATGTAAATTTAAACTCAAGGTTGACGTTTCTTTTTTTGAGAGTTATTGTGACTCATAAATTTTAATTTAAGGGTAAATGGAAATTTAGTATTGATTCAAGAATCAATCCAGGTTTTTCTCTCTCTCCCCAGAGGTGAGAAGAGGCTACATGTAAGGGTAAGACAGGGATAACAGTCCGTGTCCTATCAAAAATATAACTTCATTTGCAGTGATGACCAGGAACCTGCTGAAGTCATGCTATCATCCATCCCTACTAGAAGCCTAATCATCGTGTATACTCATCCCTCTAGATAAGAACCCTGGAATTCGACCAATAGGAGTGGGTGAAGTGCTGCAGCACGTTATTGGCAAAACCACAGCACTCTTCTTAAAGGAGGAGATCAAGTCCACTGCAGGCCCTCCACAGGTTTGCGCAGGCCACAGCGTGGGAGCCGAGGCTGCAATACACACCATGAGTCAAGTCTTTGATGAGGAAGAAACAGGTGGAATTTTGCTTATTGACGCAACTAATGCGTTTAATCTGATGAACAGAGCAGTAGCCTTGTATAACATCCAAATAACTTGTCCATTAATGTCTAAGTACCTAATCTACACCTATTGAAGCCACTCAAGGTTATTTGTCTGCAGTGGTGAAGAGATTTTGTCAAAAGAAGGTACTAGTCAGGGGATCCAATAGCTATGCCCTGGTATTCAGTTAACACATCTACCATGATACAAAGTTTGAGATGGCATGTACCAGAAGTTAAACAAGTTTGGCTGGCTGACGACTCAGCAGGGGGAGGGAGAGTAGAAGATTTGAATCACTGGTACAAGTACCTGTGCGAGGATGGAAAGAAATATGGCTACTTGGTCAATGGATCAAAGAGTTGGCTGATCTTGAAGTCACAAGAGTTAGTGGATGAAGCAAAATGGGTCTTCGGTGATGAAGTTAATATCACAACGGAAGGGAAAAGGCACCTAGGGGCTGTTATAGGATCTAAGGTGTACAGAGATCATTACTGCACAGAGAAAGTTCAAGGTTGGAAAGGGGAAATCTTAACACTAGCAGAAATAGCTAAAAGCCAACCACATGCAGCCTATATTGTATTCACCAAGGGATACAAATCTAAATTCACTTACTGTATGCAAACTATTGAGTCTTTCGAAGAATACGTAGACCCTGTTCAGCAGTTCATTGATGAGATGTATCTCCCCATCCCATTCGGTCAAGCAGAACCACTCCCAGATGAATTGAGCAAACTCATGACACTAACACCAGCACAAGGCCGCCTGGGAATACCTGATTTGATAACAGAAGCCCCACAACAGTACTCAGCATCAAAACTTTTCACCAGACAACATGTTGAGTCTATTAAATCTCAAAGTGAAATCATCAATACAAATGAGCAGTTGGTAGAGGAACTAATGAGAGACCTGCAGTCCCTCAAGGCAGAGAACACAAGGTCCAAAATCAAGAGTATCAATGCATCCCTCGACCCTGAGCTGTTGTGTCTCACACAGCAAGCCGGAGATAAAGGTGCAAGTTCTTGGCTCAATGCTATACCCCTCAAAGATCAGGGTTTGGCAGTGAATAACCAAGAATTTACCTGCGATTGCGGTACAATTTACCACTGCAGGACATACCGTCTACCTGTGCTTGTGGTGAGCCATTTAATGTAAGCCATTCCTTGTCATGTAAAAAGGGATTTGTGGCTCAACACAATGATGGAGTGAGAAATATAATAACCTCCCTACTCAGCAAAGTGTGCAAGAACGTCCAAGTAGAGTCTCACCTCTAGCCATTGGACAATGAAGTGGTGAGTTTAAGATCAGCCACAAGAAGTTCCAATGCGAGATTGGATGTGAAGGCTGATGGCTTCTGGTCGCGTGGAGTGGCAGCATTTTTTATGTTAGAGTGACGCATGTCAACTCCAAGACTAACCAGGGGAAATCAACTGCAGCAGTTTTCAAGGAACAGGAGAGTGAGAAGAAGAGAAAGTACCAACAAAGGGTGCTAGAAGTTGAGATGGGCTCCTTTACCCCACTTATTTTTGGAACCAACGGCGGGATGGGCAAAGAATGTAAAATGTTTATGAAACATTTAGCTGAGAAATTGGCAGAGAAGGATGTTGAAGGTTATCCATTTGTTATTAGCTGGCTCAGGACCAGGATTTCTTTTGAAATGTTCAAGTCTGTAAATACCAGCATCAGAGGATTGTGACAGCCCTTTTTTAGAAGTGAAGTTGTAGATGATTTTAAAGTAAATTGTACAGCTGCTAACCTTTTTTATGAAATAATTTCTTACTTGTAAACCGCTTCCTGAATCGAATTTCGTAATTAGCCCCTTAGCCTTATTGTTTTAGTAAATAGTTTACTAGCCTTATTGTACATTTTACATTTATATAAGCACAAGATTACTTCTAGTTTTATTTTTAGTTTACATTATGCAGTGACCTTTTTTCCTGAATTGTAAATAGCCCGATTAGTTTTATTGTTAATTTAACACTAGTAAAATTAGTTTTTAGTTTTCAACCTAAGAGTGCCTGTTACAGTACCAAACATACAATGAATAAAGATGATTTATGGTTTTTTACCTCATTCTGCTTAGAAATGTTCGATTTGTTTCACTGCAATTATTGGTAAAGAGAGAATTCAAAGCACATCTTCATGCTATAAACTACAAATGGACACCATGGAACTCCACATTTGCCAGACTTGTTAATTGAGGAGATATCAGTCCACATATTTTCAAAATAGTTTTTTTATCACTGATCCATACAATATTTCATGTAAATCTCTACAAGCATGTTTTCACAGTTTCTACCTTACCTAAGCATGACCGAAGCAAATTAGTTCATTGTACCGAGTCGAGCTCGTCTGATGTAGCAATAATTTGGTAGATTACGAAAAAAAACTAACAACGAAATAATAATGCTTAAACAGAAAGATGCAAGGAGAAAAGTCTAGGTTTTATTATTTTCGCTTCTGATGCACACATTTCAAGTTGTAGAGGTTATTCGTCAACAGCCCTCACAGGGTCCATCAAAAACATGAACATAAACCTACCTTGACCGCTGAAAATACCCAAAGGATTGAAGATCATATGCTGAAACTAATGTCTTTGACTTAATATCTTTACGAACAACACTTAATGCGTATAATTTCATCCTCGAATTCTCCTTCCCTGGCAGACAGACTCAAATTTTCTCGTTCACGAAAGAAACTGTGTAACCTAGCCTCTTGAGGGAAGTTTGGAAGTGACGTCACCGCTCTAGACACCAAACTATAGTGGCAAGTATGTGTACCCTGTGTACCCTGTGTACCCTGTGTACCCATGTGTACCCTGTGTACCCTGTGTACCCTGTGTACCCATGTGTACCCTGTGATCCCTGTGTACCCTGTGTACCTAAGGGTTCGTCAAAATACGACACAACTCGTAAAAATACTCAGCGATACTACACAACAAAACGTCTAATAAGATATATGTATTATGTAAACATCATAATATACAGATTTAGCCAAGCCTAAAAGCGGAGCTCCCAAGTTCGCAATATTAATGATAACACTGAAAAGGCACGTACATACGTAGGTACGTACGAACGTAGGCTCGGTCAGTCACGTGACAACTAAACGGAAAGAGGTTGACCATATTCCATGGGTATGGGGCTCTGCCCTACGCGCGCAAAGCGCGCGTGGGAGCCCCGCTATGAAGCTGATCAGTACAATGTCGCCCTCGCGATGAATAAGGTCGGGAAAACAAAGCGGCAAAAAACATTCTTGTGTAATAACTAAACGTAAATCAGTTTGAGAGGTTTATAACAAGTTCCGAGCATATAAGTGTAACTAGTACTGGAGAGCCGTCATCAACCGATGACCTATAAGTCTAAGATAACATGAATGTAATTAAAACATTGTTTTATTGCTCATCCAGTGATATATATGTAATACACTGATTCAATAGTTATACAATATCAAAGCTAAATACGAATTCAGAACCACTAGAGTATTTACTATATATATATATATATTGATAACATAATACATATTACATTACATGAGCTCTCTGTATTTATATATATATATATCTGAATATATTAAAATATTATCAAGGCTATTAATTTTCGCGTATGTGAAAATATTTCTAAGTTTCAACTCCGTCTGATCGCATGACCAAAGTCTTTTTTGAAGATCAATAACAGAGTACCAAGATCCCTAACAGTGACGTAATTTCTGACGTCACAAACAGCACTTCGGTAGTTGTCTGTTAAGTCTTCCTCTATCGGAGTGCGCTCCTTGACCACTACGTTTTCTTTGTCGTTGTCAGAGACAAATTCCTACAAGAGGCAATAGGAAAGTTTGGTTAATGTTGAAAACAAAAAGTCTTTCAGGTTGTTAGGGGCTTTTGCTGAACGCAGTAACCGGGAAATAACTCCCTAAACACTCAACTCACTAAATTGAACTGTGTTTGATTACTCATCGAAGAACTGTTAGGCTTCTTTTTTCTGGAACAGTATTGTGTTTACCTTAAACACTTTAGGATAAGAATGTTGGATTTCTACTACAGCGCAGTAACTTACCAAAAAATCCTTCGTTTGTTTATTCAGAGTCTCCTTTACGTGTGCGCTTGTGGTTGGTTTTGGCGGAGAAATGCCATTGCTCTGAAGCTTAAGAAGAAAGAAGAAATAAATGACAGAATATGAATGCGGATAAGGAAAGAGAAGTCGAGCGAGAAAAAGAAGGAAACCACACAAATTACTAACCGATCAAAACAGAGCAAAGCAAACAAAGGCACAGAGATTTTTGGAGGAAGTTTCTTACCACTTCAATTATCACTGGTGTGATGGAATTAAGCCAATGTTCCAGATTATCCCTCAGTTGTTGTACATTTTCATCCCCACTTTTAGTCACCAGTTTAATGGCGGCCTTGAAGATCTGGAACAGCTGGAGGTCTTCTTCCATTTTTTCAACGTCAGTCTTGTCTACGCTTGCCTGTGGTAGAGATAAATGGTTTTGAAATACTTAATAAATCACTAGCGAAGATGATCTGCGTATAGATGAGTTCAAGTTTAACACGCATCGGTGACTTGAACTTGAACTCTATTTTTATTTAGACACGGTAAATCTATCAGATAAAATAATAATATTCTTGCAATTTATTGTTACTATTACAATCTATTATTAGAATTACAATCTACTTTAATCTATCTAAACATGATCTAAAATTTAAAAGTGAAATAGAAAAAATAAAGAAATTCTGCTTTACATAGATGCCGTGTGCGTTTTGTCGATTCAGACGAAGAAATTGCGACAACCATTTCGAAAAGATTGAAGTGATTTTGCTTGCCGCAACTCAGGGGATAAGCTATTCCAGATAACCGCACCGTTATAGCTATAGCTATTTTTCGGGAAATTGGTGCGGGGCAATATGGAACAGCTAGTTTGTTTTCAGAGTTCCTTAGGTTATAAGGAGGATCATATTGACTGATCTGACAGCCGCTCTCATTAGTTTTGGATTCTTGATCTGACAGGCCCTTGCTATAAGAGTAAAACTGTGAACTATATTCCTAACCGGAAAAAATTCAGTTTTTTGACCAAGTCGTTAGTTCTTTCAAACTTTCCCTTCAACAAACGAAACCGAAACTGAGATAGGGACATGAATGATAAAATGCTATTTTGGTCATACAAAGGAAATGAGCCCCGTCCAAAATGAATGACGAAATTAATATTTTGGTCATAAAAGGGACACCCCTGTCTGAACATTGTTCGTTACTTTTGACATTTTGGTATCGTCATGGCATGGCTAGTGATAAAAATAATCAAGTTAAGAAGTAAATGTGCGTTTAATGTTGCTTACGACGTAAAAGGCTTTTGATAAATGATAACTGGCACCTACCCTTTGGAATAAGACTCTGGAAAGTTCACGGATTTGAAACGTTGTAACCTTATCTGAATTAAGTCCATGTTGCTCAAGTGTTGGCTCCTATAAAACAATATGTTGAATATTTATTATGGATTCTAACTGAAAAAAACGTTAAATCAACAGAGAAAATATCAAATGTGTTTGTTTTAAATATAAACCAGTTGAAAGTTGACTATCTTAAAAGTAGGAAATTTGTTGGCCACCGTAAAGAATTTCTAAGCTTAACGTTTCGAACGTCAGCCCTTCGTCAAAGCGAGTCGTAAAAGTGATCTAACACATTTCAAGTTAGATTTTCTCTGGGTATACGAAATTAATCCCATTAAAAAAAAACTACAAATTCATCCGCGCAGTACTGCTATGACAAATATCATTTTAAATGTTATGATTCAAAACCGATGAACCGTATTTACGGTCTGATGTTCAGTCATGTAACATAAAAATAACTTCACGAAGATTCAATACTATCTCTTACCAGAGCCACTTGGCACTGCTGCTGAAGTTCATCCAGTTTATACATTGCAAGTCTCAGTTTCTCTATCGAGTCTTCAGAAAAAACGAGTTTCTTCTTCTCATCCATGGAAGTTAAAAGATCTTCGGAACAATCAACGGTCAAGATGGTTTCCTCAAAGTAGTTCATGTTGTCAGTATTAATGAAAATGCACCACTGAGCGTATCGGCGGGGTTTATAAAACTCTTTGATAAGAAAGGGAAATTCCTGTCTCCGTCATGGGATTTTCTGAATACTTCATATTAATACCTTTCTTTCCCAGAAATAAACGATGAAAGAACAATTTGATTTCTGTAACGGAAACTTCATTTTCGACCGAGTGCATTACAGTTTCTGTTAAGAAAGTAAAAACGACTCATCTGAAATTCCTTCGGTTTCCAGACAACTCACACACGTATTTAAATTATGTCTAAATTGGGATCACTTATTGCATTTGTAGCTAAAACAGTAATGGATATTGCATTTCAAGTTACCTTTCGGTTTCAATTTGAGTCCAGGGTAATGCTTTCCTTAATTATCGATCAAATGAATTAGTTAACCATGAAAACAATAACGCTGGGAATTTTCCCGGAAAGACTGAGGCCTTAAATGATCTCTTTACTGAGGTCTATGACGTTACTTGACATGTATGTTTCAATATTTTGAAGTACTTTTGATTCTAGGAAAACAAAGTCACACAATGAAGATATCTTTAACTTCACTTTTCCCGGAAACCATTGTTGTCGCGTGATTTGTACACAATTCCGTTTCAGAGTCGATGAAAACGTGTTTAGGTCATTTCCAAACCATCAGATTTATATTAGATCGAAAAATACTAATCAGTCAAGGTTACTGCTGAGTAACACCTCGCTAAGTGGGGGAGAGAGAGGGGAGGTGGTGGTGTAATGGGAATGAGAGTGAGTTTATGGGTTGTGATTCGTTTTCCAACTCTCTTCGCATCCTTAAAAAAATGTCACAATTCACGATTTAAGAGACAAAAAATTCTCTCGCCATATTTTGAGAATCTATAATCAATAACTCTTGGTTCTTTAATTACTTGTGTAGACAAATGGACGTTCGCAGTACAAGACTCAACTCACACCAACGCACACTCTCCCAATAAACTTTACTATTACATCGATATGATACGAATATTCTGCAAGACTCGTACTGCTACATATGCTTTGACTACCAAGTCCTTCAACGAGTTTGAGGTTCAGCTGGAACCTGCACTTACCAAATGATTTGCAATAATTTTCTAATTTTAGCCAAAGCCGGCAGATACCGCTCATGTGACCGAGATCGTCGGCAGGAACTTGCTTTAAAACCACACAGACAAAAAAAACGTGCATTGATAATCTGTAACACGAGTGTTTCAGATAAACAATTATCTATTTCAGTCACTTTGGAATCTGGCTGAACGGAAATTGATTTGGAAATCAGTGCCCGTGCACGCCTTGAGCATTGCGTCACACAACAACATTGTTTGGGTGAAAATAACCTGTCACGATCAGCCTCATGCCATTTGCTGTAACCCATAATATTTATTAAGCCACCACAAACGTACTCGACCTCTTTGATCAGCTCTTTAGGGGCTTCTCTCTTCCATTTGCAAATAATAGTTGAAGCATTCTTGAACAGTGAATAGACCTGAATACGGGTTCTTTTCAGCCTTCCTTCTCCTATGGTCATTTATCCATTTATCCACGCTCTTTGACCAATCAGTTCCCACGAATTTTTATATTTCCGGTGCAACATTTGCGGTGTCGATTGCAAGATCTTCTTGGCGTATTACTTTGAAGAGGTTTCTAAGCAAGGGCGTAGGAGACAACAGACCAATTAACACATTCTTTTTTTAGTGAATCACAAATTTTGTGAACATTTGAACGGAATTTCGCATCTGAGTGGCCCTGTATCCAGTTCAACTTCACCCAAGAAAACACCACAGCTCTAGGGTCGCGAACCAAGTTGATGGATTTCACATCGTATTTGTTTTGTTGGACGAAATTTTCCTCATGACAGGATGGAAAACGCGTGCACTGTAAGTAGCTCTCGTTGTCCCTCAGAAAACTTTTCTAAGGCTTTGTATGGGACAACGAGAGCTACTTACTGTGCACGCATTTTCTGTCCTGTCATGAGGCTCCTTAACGAGTTGTTCGATAACCGCCCACTCAAAATCTTGATAACAGAATGTTTATAAGAATTACAAACCTGACCAAGCAAAGAGTTTGACAATGTGGCACAGTTTCCAGAGGTTTTCTTATCGGGGCATGTTTTCCCACTGGTGAGGGGCTTTGCTGCGATGACGGAAAGAACTTGTAGAAATGTCCGATAAAACTGCATTAGTGATATTACTAAAGTCACAACTGATAATGCTATCGAGTAAACGAATACAAGTATCTTAGTATGAAATTGGCTCCTTTTCCATAACCACGTTCACATTCAAAACATTACCGAAATGAAATAGAGGTTCGAACCAGTACATCACTTGCGGATGGCAATCGAAAATTCCTCCAAGGAAGGAAGATCCCCCCCTGCCCGGACTTAAAATAACAACATTTTTCCTCTTAGGATAAATTCCTTGTTTTCGTTTAAATTCATTGTTTTCCTCGTTCCGAATTGATCTGGAGTAAAACTTAAGTTCTTGAGGGGATTTTTGTTCATGATCAAAGAGCCATTTTGTTTCAAAATTATAAGAACGAAGAGGTTTCTTCAGGCTTTTAGCACCTTCTTCAGAAATCACATCCACAGTTGATTTCCGCACACTGTTGAACACGGTGAATAAAATCAGCAAACATATTGAAATAAACACAGAGCAGTTGACATAGAACCTGCGATTTCTCACGATGAAACCAACTGTAAAAGGACAGACTGAAGTCAGTTGTGTTGTTTCTCTCTATTTACAAGCAGGACAGGCCAGGCTAATCAAAGTGACTGGGTATGATAAATCTAGTCCTTTCTGCCTGCGATGTACTCTTTGTTTAGTTCTGTCTTCTTTGTAAGCCTAAACAAGGCAACATAAACGTTTATTCTTTTTTATCTTGACTTTTAACTCGTTTGGGTTAATTGACGTTCAGTCTTCAGGACGTATAGTCCCCAGCAATGCTGGGCGAATACAGAGTATTAAAAGAGACGGTTAACACAAAACTGAATTAGATTCAAATCTGTAGCTTCACTTGCTAAAAGATTGAGAATGTCAATTATATGATCAGAATATTGCTTCCTTAGAGTTTAGGACCGCACATGATAGCGAGAAGTTTCAATGCGGACTGCTTTGAGTTAGTTGGTCACGGTCCGAAAAATGATCGTTTGCACTGTCAATGCACTGATCTCGACAGTATGTGACCGTAAATGGAAAAAAAAAAATAAAGAAAATTTGACTGTCCACTGACCTTCAATCTCCCTCAGTCTATATCTATATTCTCCCCAAAAATGTAAAAATTTGCTTTATGGTTAACTCCGTACACATTTGCAAAATATTATTTCAAATAAAGAAAAGAATAAAATATCAGAAAGTTGTGAATTACGTTGCTAGAGAACGTTGTCTTAAACAACTGCAATGCATTATGAATGCACATACAATCGCACAGTAAATATTCTAAAACACAGTATTGACATAACAATTGCGATCGTACCAATTCTAGTTTTTGAATAAAACTTCCCCATATAATGCCAATGTAAAATCATATAGTGTTGTCACTGTGATCAGTCATCATTTAATGTTACGTCGGTTATTCATATCGGTGGTGACAAACAGATTTTAGTTAGGATTGCAATCAGGGGTCTACAATATGACCTGCTTTTCGTAAGTCAATGATGGAAAGAACTTGATTTACTCTTCACTCAGACGAATTGGGACCTTATTAAACTTTAATGCCATAAATGACCACTTAATGTAAAGAATCTCGCTCAATAGTTCAACTAACTTTGATTTTGAGAGAGAAACATGAATTATAAATTGCTCGAAAGATTATTCTTAGTTTTATTCGAGTGGCTCTGCTTGAGGTGACTGTTCAATGCAGGTTAGCCCTGGCATAAATAGATTGTGCTCGGCAACTTTTGAGCAACTTTTAGCGTTTTCAGCAACTTTTTGTATTGCAAGCAACGGTCAGCAACCAAGAGCAACTTTTGCCTTCCTTGGCAACTTTTGAGTCAACAAATAGTTAAAAACTGACCAGACCATCAAAAAGGTATTTATCAAAAGCTTTTTTTTTAATTAAAACTGGTCAAAACTAAGGACGTCGTAGGTTCTTACAAATACTTTATGAAATAACACGTGCGCACACAGCTGGACAGCAGCTATCTATCTAACGGGCGCTTACATCCAGCGGTTATTCGCTCCAACAATAGAGCTTCCCGCGCGTGCGAGGCATCGCAATTAGAAGCTGAAATGTCTGACGAGGAAAATGAAAATGACACAGATATTGACCCTATCGAGGTTACCATAGCCACTGGGGGCAACTCCTAATAGTCCTGCAAGAGCTTTAATCTCTAGAAAGCGCAAAATTCACGTCAGCGAAGGCAAATACAAACAACTAGAAGTGGTAACTCGGCCTCGTCCTCAGGGAAAGGAAACACAACATGCGCTTGGGATCGCGTGAAAGACTATCCAAAACGTCATTAGAAAATAAATTCTATTATTAGTTACGTTGAGATTATATTGATCACAACAAATGATGTTAAATCATATATATAACGTCATGTTTTGAGTAGTAATCTAGAACAAAATGACTCTCAAAAGTAAGCAACTTTTTTAAATTTGGGTGGCAACTTTTAAATTTTTGAGCAACTTTAGAGCAACGTTTGGGTTTATCGTCCAGCAACTTTTGCTGGATTTACTAGCACAATCGATTCATGCCTAATACAGGTGAAAGGCAATACAAACAGGCCGTTACGACTCAGTTAAGGGTGACCGCGATCACTTAATAGGGGATCACTTAAGGGGAAACAAATTCAAGAGTTTGACAACCGACCGCCAAATACAGCGCCGCTTGATACGGTTCCTCTAAATACAAGTTCGACCGTAGTCACCAACGCTACAGAACTTTTTCTTCATTCTGCGAACCTGGTGGTTTTTGGGCTTTGATGCTGGCTCATTTTCGCGGCGACTTCAAAGTACTGACACACAAAACCAGCTCTGCAAACTATGTTTACATTTCCATATCAAATTTACAGATGCGTCCTGAATAACAATTACAAGTTTGTGTTTCGTAATTTTAGATAACTGACACAAAAAGACTTGCAAGCAACTTGGTCGTTGTCCTGTCTGCGAAAGACAATCTCTAGTGGACATAACCAGGTAAGCAAGATGTAAAGAAGCGATTAGTTATTGTTTCTGGTGCTATTCAATCCACTGCGTTATTTTTCTCTTGAAAAATCCCAAATCAGCCGCCAAAGTTCTCTTTCGTTCACAATATAATTAAACTTTAAAAAGTCGCCTTAAGACCGAATATTATAATTCCTCCTTGTGATTCTGGAGATAAAGTCGGTGAACTAAGGACTGCGTTTAATGTGATTTCAGTTCATCGCTAGCTGCTGAGAATCTGTTTTAGAGATGGAGTTATCTAAGAAATGTACGGAAAATAACATGTTTGTTGAGCTTAATCCGTCCGCTCATATTCTCCACTATTATCTTCACCACATTTGCTTCACTGAAGATTCGGAGAATGTAAAGCTTTAATTAACCACTAGCAGAGAGAATCAATCCACTCAACATGTTTTAGGGCCATTAAAAACCGCCATTTGACAACGGAAGACTGCTTTATCAACAACCAAAACAGAAAGCTTTTAATGTTTGTGATCTCTATGGTCAAAAAGAGAAAGATGCAAATTTAATAAAAGTTAACAAATGAATTTTCATATAAAAAGGTGACTGAATGTGGCAAAATATACTTGTCTTAAATCATACACAGTTTGAACCACTCTTCCGCGGATTCTTTTAACCAAAACAGTAAGATAAAAAACAAATGTGCATTTAAATAGTTTACTAATTAAAAACATGGATCTACTAATTAAAACTACCTTGGATGTATTCAAGCTTCTTAACTAGAGCATCGCACATGTTTTAATAGTGTGAAATATAATCTACACCAGTCAATCACGTTTCCAAAAACATAGTGACGTCATCCATGCCGACTTTTAATTATAACGCTGGCCGTGCCTGTGGGGAATATGAAGCATTGGCTACCTGGTCAGAAAAAATGGGCTCATCTTGCCCGCTTGGGAATTCCCGCGTAAAGAGAAAAAGGTTCCGTCTCTGGTGTTCAAAGAAAAAAGTTAAAAAGAAATAAAAACTCGTATTCCTAAAAAAACAAACTCTTATATCTTAACCCTTTGATTACGAAAAAGACCATATTTTTTCAGTTGTAATTTGGCGATACAAACTTAACCTCACGTTGGTCCTTAATATGGATTATCCGTCACAATATTTGCGGTGTTGAGACACCATGGGCTCAGACTTTGGGATAACGTGACCTAGATCAACAGCTCGTGTCTGGATGCGTTCAAATCGATTCGGTTTCTCGCTTTTCTGGCCGTTTATAAGTGTTTTCCGAGCCATTTTCTCTCTACCGAAGCCTTCACGACGGCATCATTAAGCTGGAATGTGGGTAGAGGCAAGCCTCTGAAGGAAAAAAGAGGTAAGAGGTGGTTTCATGTAGACTGGACCGCCAAAAATGCTTTCATGCAAGCTTGGCGAGTTCACAATGAAGTCGTCTGTCTGGCCCATCTGTGGATGGCTAGCAGGACCTACCAAGGCTTTTTGGGCAAGTTTTGACTGGTAAAAGTTTTGATGTGATATTTTGCTGGTAGGACTGGGTGGCCCGACACTGCAAATAATTTTTTTAAAATGGAAATGTTAAGAGTTCCCTTCTCGAGTTATGGTGGAATTTCCCAGAACTCTTTTCGGGCATAAACAAGGCAAAGGTTGTGTTCGCGACACTAGCTTGCATCAAATGGAGGAAGAAGGGCTAGCGGATAAAGTGAGAAGGAATTTCCAGCCAAACACCAAGATCTGGCCCTGAAGTGTGTTTTGAATGCAAACTTTTGAGTTTTTGATCAAGTTTTCAACTAAAAAGATCGACACTTTTTCAGTGTTTCTCTTAGAGCAAAATGCTGGAGTTTTGGGATTTGTTGCCACATGAACGGTTCACTGCAATGGAAATCGGGAATCATTGTGGGCATTTTGGGCCCCAATAGGTGTCACATCAAGCAGTCGGTGCAATGTACACACTTACATAACGTTTCTTTTAAGTTCAACAAGAAACAAATAACAACAGTAGTAACGCTATTTTCCACGCATATATGCGTGGCTAGTACTCAAAGGCTCTTATATTTTCGATCTGTAAATCTGAGCCAACAAAGTCTAGCTGTCGTCTTCTGGATCTTGAGCCTCTCAACTATAATAATGATAATAATAGTAAAATGCGATAACCCAACTCACCAAGGTGGTTTTTTAATGGGGCCCTGTGTACGTGTGTACGTGAAGTTACATCTGTTGTGGTTCGAACTAAAAAGCAAAACGAACGAACAATATAAATATACATGTATAACAACAACAGCATTTATTTAAACAGATAAAAAATTCAGCAAAAGCTGATGTGGTCGTGTACAAACAATAAAACTAAATTCCTACCTAAATACAATAAAACTAAATTCCTTACTAATTACAAGAAGACTAATGTAAGATTTCTACATATTTACAACAATAAAAATTCTACAAAGTACATCATTATAATATACGTGGGTTAAAATTACACTTGAGTGACTTTTTAAAAGCGTCAACGTCTTGAATTGATCTCATTTGATTTTCCAGATCGTTCCACCAAGTAATTGACTTGTATGAGCATGATTTCTTGACCATATCGGTCTTAGGTCTAGGTAACTTAAATGTCATTTTCCTCCTGAGGTCGTAACTACTTACATACTTGTCAAAGAGACGGTTCATAGGACATGGTAAGAGATGATAATAGGCCTGATGCGCTAAGATTAGTAATCGTTTCTCATACATAATCTCTAAGGTATTCCATTTTACTGTGGCAAGAACCTCCTTGCTTGGAGTACACCAATCCAAGTTAAATATTATTTTCGCCGCTCTAACATGTATAGATTCTAAGGTTGAGAAAAACACTCGACCACAAGAGCCCCAAACTAACATACCATATGTCACAGGCGGCAGAATAACCTTAAAATAGAAATCAGTTCTTGTCTGTTTAGGCAGGAAATACAAGGATTTAAGTACATTCAACTTCTGTGTATATGACTTCGCTAATTCCGATACATGATGATCCCATTCAAGAGCATTATCTATCTGAACACCTAGGTATCTTGTAGAAATAACCTCCTCGATAACATAATCCCCCATCTTAATAGCTTGTTTTGGCCCAGTACATTGTCCGCGTCCACCAAGCAACATATATTCCGTCTTGGTGGGATGTGGAGTGAGACAGTTCCCGTAACACCGTGTATATAGCCTTGCTAGTACTTCATTCAACTTGGAGGCCACCCGATCATAGGTCGGAGCCGAGACATAGACATAGTATGTTACTCCGTATTTAGAAAAACGGTGCCACTACTCAGGACAAAGGGCACCAATACGGACCGACCAAGGCTGGTGAATAACAATTTTATTTTTTTCTAACACTTAATGAAATACTTGCTAAAAGAATTCGAATGAATTTAGGGCTACAATTACAAGTTTAATTACGGGAAGATCCTCCATAAACTGAGCAATTTTTTCAGTGAGTAGATAATAAAGAAAGAAAAGGTTAATCAAATTAAGAAGAGAGGCTTCACCAAAACGTTTTTGTTTATTTAATGGTAAAAGGCTTCAAAGAAAACTTTGAAACTGTTTTTTAATAAATATCTGTCACCATCTGACACCTGTCAACGGGAGAGGAAAAAAGCGCATCACGCTACCCTTTCGAATGGAGCATGGCCAGAGTTGTCGAGGCGCACCCAGATGAGATGTACGAATTTATCGATTTAGACGGTTTTGCATGCGGTCTTCGGTTTTGATCGAATATTTTGGCGGTTTTGCGGTTTCTAATAGACCCCAGTGCCCCCTCCTGTTGTACTGACACCCGATTCGCCTTTAATCTACCGCTTATAAGCGAATCTAATTATACCAAATTACCGCATACATGCTGATAAAGTAGGACCTATTTACCTACCGAGAACAAAACAAAGGCCAAAACAAAACAAAACAAAGGAAATGATTTCAGAATGTCTTCGGTATCGCAGTCGCACTTGACATGTGACAAGGTTCAAGCGAAAGAGGAAAATTCATCGCTTTTACATCTGGTAAAAAGAGTTCATGGATAAAATTCCACGCGTGAAGATTACTGAAGAATAGAAAAACATTCTGAAATCATTTCCTTTGTTTTGTTTTCCTTTGTTTTGTTTTGGCCTTTGTTTTGTTCTCGGTAGGTAAATAGGTCCTACTTTATCAGCATGTATGCGGTAATTTGGTATAATTAGATTCGCTTATAAGCGGTAGATTAAAGGCGAATCGGGTGGTACTGACGAGCGCTGTTGCACTTTTGAATAAGCAAAAACCTATGGAGAAGCATTCCTAAAATAGGCAGTATAGGTGAGAGTCACATTGATAAGTGTAATTATTTACTGCAAATACTTCTCGTTTTAACTTTCTGAGTTCCTTTTTGTGGAGCCAGCAAACCATCGTATCGAAAAGTTGTAACGAAGCCAAGGCTCAACACAAAACAAAGCGAAGTGATAGCAGTAAGGCTAGACGGTTTTTTCCGAACCCGCTCACGTCAACCCGTCCGACCTGCACACGTTGGTTCAACTATGGTTTACTATGGAATTGCGCGAGTGGGGCCGTACGGGTCATATGAAAATGTAATTATATGCCAACCCCGTAGGCGTATAGTACATGGTTTTTAATTTGTAGTTGGCTTTTTTTTTTATTTAGGAGAGTAAAACAAAAGTTTAAGGAACTTTACCCAACAAATGTTCGTTGAACAGAACCAAAAAAGTCTCTGATATCGACTAATGCAAAGGAAACAATTTAAAGGACATAACAAAGGTAACTTACTTGATATTGGATAAGGATCAGACGATAAGGATTTGTTCATAAGTCGTCCAATATCAAACGAGTACGAAGTATCAGCCTTATTTTAGCACTGAAAGCCACTGATAAGAGATGAAAACGGTATACTGACACATTCGTTACAGTCATTCATTGCACAATTATTTTAAAAGTAGTGCTGACTGTTGATCAATAAGTTGGGCGCGATGGTGACCCGCTTGAACGACAGAAACAGGGAACACCTTCGCGAAGGAGAGAGGAATGACAAGGACGCATCAAAACCAGTCGCTAGACACCTTAATTTACCTAATTATTCTAAGCAGTATATGGCAATCTGCGGTCTTTCCTTACACTTAGGTAGTTTGGAAAGCCGGAAAACTCTTGAACAAAAGTTTATTTTTCAAATCGGCACTCTTAGTCCCAAAGGTATCAACGAACGCTTTTCATTCTACTAATTTATTCGTCTTTTTCTCGTCACAATTTTCTTACCAATAGCGTAGCTCCACTTTCTGCATATAAACCCACAAACGACCCACAATTCGTCCACTCGCTCTGGCGAAGGGCTAACGCTCGAAACGTCAGCTTTTTAACTCTGTACGGTGGCCAATTTACAATTTCAACCTAGTTGATATAACCAAATTATCATAAAACTAAACCTAAGTGAAGAAAATGCAGCCCCAAACCAGTTCCATTGGTTGAATGTCACGCAAGTCATCTTTACTAGCATAGCAAAAGGTCGACTGCATAAAATATCAACTCATTCAAATAAAAATTGAATTTTCTTGTGATATTAATGCACACACACAAAAAGAAAACTCAACCCTGCGCCTTCTTAATAAAATGTAGCAGTGGATTATCTGCTGCATACCTTGAAATTATCAAGATAATTGGAAGAGAAATTTTATGTTTAGTTACGTCCTACAATTGTTGAGAAAATGAAACGCATTCCACACACAAATGAAACAGTAATCGGTAGAGATTGAATGCTACAATAATGATTCCGTGTTTTTTTTTTTTTCGCAGTCATCACAGCACTTAACAATATTATAAACCGAACAGAAAGTTGGCGCCTGAGTTTGCCATGAAAAACAACGTGGTGTTAGTCACACTAAGCGTCCTTGCGTCACTGTTTGTTTTCTACACCCTGTTTTTTAGTTCGTCATGGAAGTTGATTCCGCGTTTAAAGCCGTATACCAATATCAGACAGACAAGAAGGCGAACGATTTTTCTGGGATTTGAAAAAGAACCACCACAGCAACTGGAAACAGAAACAAAGGAATTGTTCACTAGGTTTGGTATTGAGAAATCAACTAAGCTATCTGTTGGAACCAAGACACTTGAAAAGAGGTCTCCACGATCTAATCTCATTATACTGAGCCCAGGCAGAGGAGGATCTTCATTCTTAGGAGGAGTATTTGATGCTAATCCTGATAACATGTATTGGTTTGAGCCACTACACACTTTATCCCGCGGAATATATGAACTGCATTTGTTCAAAGACAAAGAAAGAAGAATTCAATACAGCAAAACCTCTATCGACCTAATCAATAGCTTCCTCGACTGCAATTTCACTCAAATCCCTAAAGACATTATATCAGCATTATCTAAGAGTATATTTCGGAGCCGAAGTACATCGTTGAGCAGTGAACATTTGTGCCGTACAAAAAACAAAACGAAAAAATGTCTACCTTACTCAGTGAAATTACTTGGCGAGGTTTGTAACTCTACCAAACATACTGTTCTCAAGATCTTGACCTCTCGTTTGCCGAGATATACACTTGAAAGTTTCCAAGGAATTTTCCAGAAACAGAAATACAAAGTTAAAGCTATTCACTTAGTGCGGGATCCTAGAGCTGTGATTTATTCCATGGTTAACTCAGTGCAATGGATAAATATATCGAGCTTTTTAAATCAAAGATTTCGTGACGTTGTTCAAGGAGTTTGTAACCCCATTGAAAAAAACATAAAATTTGGTTTGTTTTCTCCCCCGTCATGGCTAAAAAATCGCTTTCGAGTGATACGTTACGAAGATTTTATTGTAAATACAACAATCATGGCAAGGGACCTCTACAAATTTGCAGAGTTTGATTGGTCTGTAAGTGTCGATGAATGGATTGCAACACATCGGACGAAACCGCGCAGCAATAATGAAACAGATCCTTATTCACTTTATAGAGAGGCTTCACTTGTTATAAACAAGTGGAAAAAAGCTTCCCCGAGCTTAATTACAGTAGTAGAGGAAGTCTGTGGTAATTTGATGGACATGCTTGGCTACAAAAGAGTGATTAAATCAGAAGAAAAAGTAGCTAGAAATCGTAGCTCACTTGTAATAACCTGAACAGAACTATCATGACATTTTGTGGTTTATTAAAATGACTGCGTTGGTATTTCGAAGTGTGCTTCTCCCTTCCCTGTAATATAAAAACGACAGACTGAAAATTGAAGGGAACCTCGACAATGATTGTGATTCTGAACGCTCATAAAGTGTTAATTTACTGCAGAATGTCAATCGACCAGCGCAATTTATGTAAAAATATTCTTTTTTTTCTCTCCAAAGCATTTTAAATACGAAAATTAGTCATAAGTGGTCGGTGGAAATACCTCGATATCATTAAGTTAGTTGGGTTACCAAGGTCTCATGGCTTAAGTATCCCTGTCTGAGAAAGTGTTCCAGGAGCCAAAAGTGGTGGTCAACCGATTTGGCTGAAACTTGGCACAAAAGTTGAGTATGATAAGATATTTCAAAAGCCACTTTGGCTCACTTCTCTAACTGTTTGTTCTGGAGTTTCAGGGGGGGTCCCGTTTGTGGCCTATGGAGCACCAAGAATTCATCCTTCTAGGTGGCATTTTGAAAGTGCTTTAAAACTCCATTGGTAAATTGTGCAGCCAAATGAATTTGACCATGGACTCTACTATAGTGGAGCTTTTACTTCATAAATGTAACTTTGTTCCCCAGCGATTAGACAGAGAGGGGCCTAAGGTTAAAGTTAGGTCAAATTTGATGTTAAAATTACTACTTAAAATTGCCATTTTTCAAAAAGCCATAACATTCACCTGCCTTCTTGCATAACTTTCATGCCAAATCCAGTGTGTACCTTAGTGACCTATTTATCAAAATCAGTTGAAAAAAATTTGGCTTATTGAGGTTTGTTAAGTTTTTGGCACAAACTCTCCATGCTCCTCTAAGGCCATGCAAAATGGAATTTTGAGCATAATTCATGCTATAAACAGACCAAAGTCTTGACATAAAGCCTTTTTTTTGTATTCGGTGAGTGAAAATGAAACATTAAAGCCAAATCAATGTCATTATCTAGAAATACCTCGACTTTTCGCTTAAAACTACTCTAAGAAGGCCTCTGATTACCACTGCAAACACCCAGTGGTTTAAATAAAGGTAATTTTTTTCTTTAAAAACTTAGTACCCATCATAAAGTACAAATGATGATGTTCTGACCTAGATATGACAATATTTTTTAAAGATGCTTGAATTTCCTCTGATTTATATTTTTCAGGTCATATTTCCATACATACTATACTCACAAGCATGCAAAGTCTCTATACTTTGTAAGGCCCATTTTTTGATGCAGTATGAAGTGAACTTAATGAAAACGACCGTTAACAGAAGATCTATGGTTAAACTTTTGATAGCCTTGCTGGCTTTTGTAAATACGCATGATGGCATCAGTAAAAGAGCAGGATGATACATAAAGGTTGTAGTGAGTAGCGTCCAGGTGACTTGTGATCCATCCGATTTCCCTAGTCCTAGTATGTTAGAGCTGACTAAATCAAATCATCCGGCAGTAGATAAGAAATCCACAGTTAGGAAAGCTGGATAACATATATTTTGTGTTGCAGTTCATATGAAACATGCCATGCAACACCTCGAGATGCAATTGTTATTGTATCGACTGACCCACCATGTTGGACGTGAGAGTGAGAGGACTGGACCAAGTCGAGGAGTCACGCAACCTTCACTGAGTTTTGAGTAACGCGGGCTTGTTGACCAGCACTTGTGGCAATCACAGGTAGTTGCATACTGTAAAAGAGGTTCATAATATGATGCTTTACGATTAGCACTACCTATAATTTCAAAAAAAACTCGCACAATGACTGTAGTTGACTGAGTTTGTACTTTTGCAACACCTCAACTAATCTTCCCTTAGCAGAAAGTTCACGAAAGTTCAAATCTTCA